TTAAAAAATACTGAATTACAAAAAACATTTAAAAAACAAACATTTTTCATTGATATATATAAAAAAATGAATATTAGGAACTATATTTATCAAACATTTAAGTAAAATTTATTTCTGGGCAAATAAAATGTGAAAGTCACTCACCCGAAGTGCAAGTTGTAAAAATCCTTAACGTCAACCCCTGTATGCAATTAGCCAAAAGGCTCATCACACACAATCATCTCCCTCTAACAATGCTTGCAGCTCAATTTACAGAAAGCTCATGAATATATTTCAAAACGGTCAATAACCCTCTCATGATCAAAACACTTTCAATTTTCACCCATCAATAATTTCCCTCCATATGCCCTCCTATAATCAAAACCACATGAACACATTGGTATGCATCCTTAATGAGACTGTTTTTGGAAACCTGCCACCAACTCAAGGGAGGGTGAAACTAATTCAACAGTTGGCCACATGGATGATGGCAGATGTTCTGCATGTTAGACAAACACATGAATATTACATTAACAAAGTGGAGCCAGGTCAGCAAACATAGTTACACTGCAAGGTCAGACATAGAAAATAAATTTTCATAAAAAAGGAGGGAAGGAACACCATTGTTGTGTATGCACTCTTAAGACTTTATTGAGTAACAGCTGGTAAACATTAGTGAAAATGGTCAAAGGTTGTTTCTTGTCAAAACATTCAGAATCCGTCAGGCCGGCATTCCTCATTTGAACCAAGGTAAGAGTTAAAGTGGGAGGAAAACTTTGACAGGAGGAAGCAGACTGATGACAAAAAGTGAGAGACTGGAGCACAGAGGAGTGACAGCGGGGCTGACTTGGCAGGGAAAAAAGGGAAAGTAAATTTAGCAGGACTTCTGGAAGGCCTGAAGTAAAGGAAAGGGGAATGAGCAAGGAGATATGAGGGCTGCCAAACCCAGATATAAGACGAAACAAGACAAGTAGGAGAGACAGTGAAAAAGAAGAAGGATGAGTTCTGAAAATAATGGGAAATTTTTCAGGAAAGACAGAGGACAGCAGCGATGGTAGCAAGCTAATGCATAATGGAGTAGAGCATGAATTATACAGGAGCTGGACATGATCAGGCCTAATAGATCCAAAACTATGCATAGATACGGGTTTTAGTTAGATTTGCAGTATTTTTCTTTAAGTCAATTCCTAACAAAAAAAGTAATTAAAACTTTTATGTGAACTATTGTTATTTCTACTGTTATAATATCACACAATACAGAGACCTTTGGTTAAGACATTTTATAGTTTTTATAACAATTCTGAGGTGATCTCTGCTCCATGTTGTATTGTAGGTTCTCTTCATAGCCATTCTGAACCAGGCCTGATTCTTCACAGCTCTCATTCCGGATTTTAATTATCTTTTGCAATTCCAAGCCTCTCCTCTTCTCCTTCCAGCAGCTTTCGATAGGTGGCGATCTCTGCATCCAGCTTAAGCTTTATGTGCAGCAGTTCCTGGTAGTCCTGCAGATACTTGGTCATCTCCAGTTTGGTTTCACAGAGCTGAGCCTCCAGCTGAGCAATGACGCTCTCCAGACCTCCCACCTTGTCCATGTGGGAGATCTCCATTTCCTCCAGCTGCTGTTCCAGGGCGGCATTGCGAGCTCTAAGGGCGTCAATCTGGTTCTGTAGGTCTGATACCTGATTGTGGTAGCTTGCGATCTCTTCTCTCATGGTCTTCATGTGCTCTTCGTGTTTCCCTGCATGCTCCTTGAGGGTGTCAAACTTATTCTTGTACCACTTTTCAGCCTCTTGGACATTTCGGGCAGCGACAGCTTCTATTTCTGCACGCATATTGCGGAGGTAAGCAGCCAGGTCAGGACGATCACCGTCCAACTCAGCTGTAATCTTTGAGTCCTCAATCTGCTTCATGAGATCGGCTACCTCTTCATCATGGAGCTTCTTGAGAAACTCAATCTCCGCCACTAGTTGTTCTATGCGCTTCTCAAGCTCAGCCTTCTGCAGCGTGGCGCTGTCCACATCCTGACGAAACTCCCTCAGAATCATCTCTGCTTCTTCTTTAAGTGCCATCTCCTCCTCCAGTTTAAGTCTCCACACCTCCACCTCCTCTTCGATGTAGCCTCGCTCAATATCAGCAGCTCCTTTCTCATTGGTAAGGGTTTCAATCAGCTCCCGCACTTCTTTGAACTTGAGCTCGTATTCTTCACTGATGCCACCCGGGCTTCCCTTGTAGCGGTCCTGCAGAGCGGCCAGCTCGGCTTGCAGTGCTGCGTTTCTCTGCTCGAGGGCCTGAACCTTTGCGATGTATCCTGCAAATTTCACATTGAGTTCCTGCATCTCCTCCTTCTCATTGGCATGTTGCTGGTGTATCTCTGTTCCCAGCTCAACAGCGGTTCCATGAAACCCTGAGCGCCCACGGTTGTCATAGGAGGATCCACGGCACCGGGAAGGTGATGGGCTCTGAACCCTTACCCTGCCAGAAGAGCTGCTGACCTGTAAGCTCTTCTGGGTATAAGATGAAGCCCTCATGCTGTTTAAGTCACTAGTGTTTCTTTCCAAGTTGAAAATAAAACTGCGCCCTGGCTTTCTGTGACTGCCACTTTGAGACTGAAGCTCACTTGGATCACCTCTGTTTTTATGTGATGCTAAAGAATGTGTCAGACAGCCATGAAACTTGAGCTACAATTTAACACATCTCAAAAGAGGAATATGACAGACTTCCAGAGACCCGTTGCTCCATACTTTTTATTAGGTAACGCTGTACTGTTAGTGACCAGGCAGGTCAGGTCCACTCCCCGGTTGCTTGCACCAACATGTGAAATGGTGATCTCATTGTGTACGGCTGATTGTTTTTTAGCTCCTTATCAACTAAAGATGCTGATAAAGTTGGGTGTGACCGCATACTGAGCCGTACCCAGCATGCTGGAGCACAAAGGAAAAATGTGTTGGGTCTTCAAAAATCGATCAAACCGGTTTTATAAGAATGTCCTTTATTTCACAATTCAAACCTAAAATATGAATAGACCACTTGAAAAAAATCTTTCAAAATGATCTTAATTAAAACTCCTGAAATACTGGTAACATTGAACAAAGTGTTCATTTCCAACAAGGGTGACTGCTCCAGTTGACTTTATTATCATTTGAGTTATAGAGTACCGGTATACTATGCTACGCTGCTCAACACACAAACACTGGATAATGCTTGGTCTGTGGCAATTCAATGTTTTAATAGAGATCTATTTTTATGAGGACTTTATTTGTAAAAAGTATGAATGTACTGCACAACAGTTGCTTTAAAGCTGCTGGTAATACCTAAAGTGAAACTGAAGCTTTTGGTAACTCTACAACAGGCATCCCCAAACTCGGTCCTCGAGGGCCGCTGTCCTGCAGGTTTTAGAGGTTTCCCTGCTTAAGCACAGCTGATTATGATGATTGCAGTAGAGCAAAAGCCTGTTAATCAACTATCAATTAAAATCAGCTGTGCTGGAGCAGAGAAACATCTAAAACCTGCAGGACAGCGGCCCTCAAGGACCGAGTTTGGGGATGCCTGCTCTACAAGGATCATTTACTTTAGCTTACAACCAGCACATATTGGTACTTTAGCTAGATAAGGGCATAGTTCATAGGGTGTAGACCTTGGTGTATCACATCTTTAGGCTTTGCACAATGTTGCGAGGGACCAGGAGTATGTTCCCCTAAAAATTTTGAAATTTAGACTCTGCTGTTTCCTGCATCTTGATGTGGAATGCAGCAAACTTTGTCTTTGTTACAACACTACTTTTGTCCTGATTATGGGAAGTATGGGTGCTTGACTACTGGTGGAAATTTCATAAGGAAGACATGATTTCAGTTTTAGGTACAATGTTGTGTTTCATAGGTTATCCAGCAACAGCTGCCCAAGGCCAGTTTGCCTCTTTTCCCCCTACTTTTTGTGGCAGCTGGAAGTAGATGTTAGCATTTTTCAGGAATGTGGTACAAACTGCAGGCACCAGAATAATAAAAGCAAACACATTTTGGTGACAGGTTTCAAAATTTTAAGTTAATTTAGGCGTTAATAAAAAGATTCAGTAGAGTGGTCATAGTGCTCTGCATCAGCAGCGCTGTCCGTCTCCCTGCCAGCTTGCAGACCAGCTTTTCTGATTGGTTGATGTGGCGCGTCGAGTAACAAAACTCTTACTTTTCCAACTCCAACATCTACTGCTTGTGAAACTTTGAACATTTGAGCAAACTTTCCGAAAGAAAAACGAGGCGTACCAAAGCTGTACATCCAAAAACAGGGCGCACAAATATTTTTAGTAAAGGGCGTACAATGTACGCCCGTACGCATTGCTAGCTAAAAGCCTTCTTCAGGATATTTAATATTAATTTCAACAATACTAGAATGTTTTTACCAGTAAAAAAAACAAAACCTTATCATAATTTATCTAATTACAGTTTGCTGGGGAATAAATCAGGGCAACCTTGGATTAAAAATAATATGAGCGAAGACTATATAGAGGACTTAATAGTGAACTCAGTTCACAGACCGTTAGGAGAGATTTTCACTACTTTCTGCTCCCCATTAGTCACGTAACTCCTCCTCCACTGTGCCGTTCCTGTGCCATCTTTGTCCACATCAATACCAAACTGATAAACTAGTAATAGGATAAAGATGATGAGTAAACATAGGTCAAAATAACAAGTTTCATGATCATGACTTAAATATTGGTTAATTTCTCTCCATTGATTACTAAGAACACATTTGTTCTTGCTTTTTCCTGTTTTCAACAATCAATCAACTAAACTACTCAAAACAGACTCAAATCTACATCACCTTAAAGATTTACATGACAATACATCTGGTTGTGTGTAAATGTATGATGTGCCACTCACTTTGACGTACTGTCCAGCAAAATCTGTGACCTCTGAGGTGAAGCAACCGGAGGCATCCACAGGGCAGATCGGAGCTTGGTCTCTCTGGATGATGTTGTATTCTGCGCATACCCTGTAATCATCCTGGAGAGACAAGAATGTAATTTACATGGAGGTTTTACAGCTTTTTATTTAAAGATGTATGTACTTACAACCTTAAACTTAACGCACAATCTAAACATAAGTCATGATGAGCCCTTTTCTTTAATTTTCCAGTTTAAACGTGTCACTACACATCAAATTCCTTCCTGAGGTGGACAGCTTTTACAGCATTGAAACAAGTTCCTCTGGCATGTAGCAGCTATGCATGAAAGATATGAGCACTGCCCAGCTCGAAATGTAATTTCTATTCACACACCCTGTCAAGATCCAAGACAGATGACTCACTAGTTCATTTCACATCTAGTCATAACAAAATAAAATTTGAATAATGCAGTTGGGCGGTGTCTTCTTTCCGACAATATATCTTCAGAGTAAAAATATTCACATTTCAGGATTTAGTACACAAAAATGTCTAAGAGAAATTACATTTAATGTAAGAGAGGGAAAGAATAAAAAGCAAATGAAAAAGGCTAAAGTGAATTCCTTGACTTCAAATAAACTTACCACAAAAACAATTATTTTGATTTCTCTGATTTATGTTTAACGAGCAAAAAATACAATCATGTAAGTGGTGAGCAGTATTTTGTTGCACTAATGCCTGTGATAAAAACTTAAAAAAATATTATTCCCGCTTTGTAAAGAAAGGCTGAATGCCATGTCCTATTTTCGGCTCTCACACAGAAATCTCAAAGCTGGGATCCTCTGAGCATTAAATAAATAAAAAAATGAATACATTTTAACATTTCCTCCGATACGATGGGTTTTTACAAAACTTTCCTGCGGTTATTCTCACCAATCATTTATTTGATCAAATCCCCATTTGTATAATCTATCATTCAATGATTCCTAAATCACTTCACTTCCTTACTTCAATTTTGTTTCCTGAAGGAGACAAATGAGATTCAACACTGTGACGCTTCCCTGACAAAGTACCCAAAAGTTAATGATGGATGCATTTAGCTAGTGTCCTCATCTGTTATTCACCTAAAAGCTCAAAGTGAACAATCAGGACATGGAAGTATTTCACATTTCTTAATATCTATATTTTTCTTAATATCATTTTTCAGGGAACAGAAGGTATGAACAAAGTTTTTTTTTACAATACAGCATAATTTTCCTGAATATAAACTGATTGGCCACTTCACCACACAGTGCAGTCATTTGACACATGAACAAATTATGATTAAGATTTTGAATTTTACTCACGGCTCCAAAGTAAGGGGCCTGGTGGACGACCCCGGTACCCTCCTCCTCCTTGACGTAGTTATCCGTCAGTACCTGGAATGCTCCTTTCTCTGCAAACTAGGAAAGAAGAATTTCATACAGTTCACAAAAAATAATTAGCAGCAACATTTAGTATTTTTAAATAGTTTCAGAGTTCATGTACCCTAAACAGCAAGAATCTTCCTGATACACAAGCACATTCCATTATATTACATTTAAACAAAACACTGTAAAGAATCCAGTACATGGAAATGTATCCAGTACACATTCTCCCTTTTTTTACTTGATAAAGGGCTGTTTATAACTGGTAGCACTGTGGAGATTAATTTGGCTCCTCTGCCACCTTTTTCTAGTTAGTCTGGGCTCCAGAGTGTCATCAGTTCAGTCGCACATGTGACTAACAATTTGCAAATGTTCTTTTCCTGTGTTGCATTGTTGTTCCTAAAGCCCTCACACATCATCACACCGTGCAATCACAATATACACAAGTGTAAATTCTGTAGCACTGCAAGATGGAAGATGCCAGACTGAATTGCTTGATGCTGTGGCAGAATTGTGTCAGAAAGCTCAGGCAGACATGGAGGTTAAACTATTGGACAGCAAGTTATGGGTGTTAATGCAATTATTCGAATGGACAGCTGCAAAGAGGAGGAGGATGATGAGGACAGGAGATGTTGACAGGTGCGCTCATGACTGGGCAAAGAACGACGAGGACCCTACACACTGCAAATGTGGTGCAAAAAAGCTGCTTTTACAGAAAATAAAAATAAGAAAAATGTGTTAACTAAAACTCCTTACATGTCCAAACATAACACTTTATTAATCCAAACAGAGGCAGCTGCTTGAATTTTGAGGTACATTACAATAGACAAGTTTCAACTCAATTTATTTATATAGCTCCAATTAACAACACATGTCATTTCAAGGAGCATTACAGAGACAACTCAACCAGATCACACAGTGAGATTGGTTCAAAGTTTCCTATCTAAGAAAAACAAGCTGACTGCATCGACTTATTGACTTGACAGCAATCCCTCAATCTCCTTCAGTTTCTGCTGAAAACTTCAGGGAGCTCAGAAGGAGAGAGTTGCAGATGTCAGTGTTTATGGTCCGAGTTGTAGTTGAAGACAGAGATTCCATATTGGGTTAAATAAAGTAATTGGAGTCATGTTATCTCCACCTGCATGAGCTGCCCCCTAACCCACGTAAAACTCAGGGAAAATAGTGGGATCAGGCACCATACTGGAGTCTTCCTTGCAGCATCAGGTTATTAAAGACTGAAGAAAATGAACCAGATCAGGCTCCTCACCATTTAGTTCAATGATTGTAATGATCTTAATCGGCCTTGTTGACTGACGTCTCTGAGTAAGATAATAAAGTATTTGCCATACAAGTGGACCTGAGCACCTCTGGCATGAATGCGGCCTTTTTTAGCATCTTTAAATGTGTGTCTAGAGAACGATAGAGAGAAAGAGCGCTATGAATGAACAGAGGATTTTTTTTTTTTCAAAATCCCGTTGAGGTGATGGGGTGGACTCTGTGGCAACAGGGCGGCAGCAGCATCACTGCATGACTGGCCGGCTCCAGCTGTACAGGTGAAGCCTGCAGTCTCCACCTCTGCACCCACCAGAACCACCAGCCCATCATTATTGCAGGAAGCAATCAGAAACTGGCCTTGATGAACATCTACCTCCATGCACACCAAACCGTATGTCAGCACATAGCCATCTTTGTCGGCATGTACAGGGTGAGGAATTGTTGAGCCATTTTCTCATATAATAAAGAAATGATAATGTACCCATCTTTGAGCTGTCGCCTTCAAATGTAAATAAAGGCTGACCTTATTCAAACAGAAATAAGTAGCAGAGGTCGCTTGGTGTCTGAAGTAAACCAGAAATGCCCATCAAACTTGTCCATAGCTAACTGGAACCTTTCTGCTTGTAAAAACAACAGTTTGCGTATCACATATTTGTGTGCCAACTAGTCAACTCCTGAAATATTTGTTGGTTTATTGAACAAAATAGGAAAAAATGTATAAATTGCCTCTAAAAGAGATTATAACAGACATGCGGAGGGAGCAGGTGCACAGATGTAAACAAATAAATCAGAATAACCGACTTATATTTCTTTTATTAATAAAGAAAAAAATTAATAAACCAGTTGGACTCCTTTTAGGTTAAAAAAAAAAAAAAGAAAAACTGTAAGCATTCATATATGAGACAAGAAAACACCACAAAAAAGTCCACTTACCTTAATGAAGTAGTGAAAAAGTGGTTTGTACTTTTTTCCTTTTAGGACCTTTCCAGGAAATCTAACAAAAAGAGTAAAGAGGACATATAGTTAACAAAACAGATATCAGAATCTAGTAAACTGAGCTATTATCAAAAGGTTACTATTTATACGACATTGTAAAACAATTTTCAATACTATCCTACTATTTAAGTTGTGCATTTATATATCCTCCATAAGGTTGCTAAAGCTGTAGAATTGACTTCCCTTGATGAAGAGTTAAGATCATAAATCAATAGCATTCTTTGTAGAAACACAGTGAAGCTTTTACTCACTTGTCCAAAATGGTATATTCACTCTCAGACTTGAAAAGAGCTCCCAGCCTGGCTTCCATCATAATGTAAGTCTTATCTGTGGTATTATCTGAAAAATGAAGGGAAAATATGTGTTTTATGCAATTTATGACTTCACATTTTCCAAGATTTTTCATATGAAAAACAATTTTTTAATGCTCTTTAATAAGTTTGTATCACTGTGAAATGTATTTAAGACTGGAAACGGGAAAACTCAAAGTCTGTTGTGTTTTGTGGCGCAGGTTTGCTAGCATTTATACCATTTGCATAATTTTCTTTCTGTGACTGCAGCATTTTGTTTTTGCTTAGAGCGTGCCACATCTGTTTATGTCTGCTCATAGCGTCTGGAGCTGGAATTCTATTTAAACTGAAAAAGAACAATTAAACATAATCAGGATATATGCTTGGTGAATACAACCTTAATTTATCATTATCAAATGGTTATCAGTAATTTTCTTTTATAGGAACATAAGATTATGCATTTTCAAGCTATTGAGGTTGAATTGCTGGTCAGGTTTTTGATGGGTGGGCATTCACCATCAGACACATACAGCTTTACTCAGCCAGAATGACTTGAGTTGTATTTACTGCCAATCAATCTGGAAACTAGCAAATAGAAACAAATTTCAAAGGCATGACGAACAGAGTCAGAGGTAACATGTTAGAACCAATCGAATAACTATGGGTGTGACATAAAACCATCTTTTTTTTTTTAAAGGAAATGCTGTTAAACCTGCCTGTTGCTGTACATTTTAAATATATATCTAGCTAATTTAACACATTATACACACAGTATATATACTTCAGCGATAGTATCTAGGTGTTACTTTATTGTATGTCTCGTACCATGTCCATTGGTTGTGCTGTTCTTTTTACATCTCCTTGCAGGTGATGAAGCAGACGGAAAATGTTTTATCATTATCTCCCTTTTATCTCCTTTCTTTCATCTTTTCTCCTTTTTTTTCCTCCTGTTTTTCCTTTCCTGTTTTAATTACATTGCAGTGTCCATATAATCTGTAAAAACTCCCTGCATAATTATAATAAAGCAATTTATATGCATAAAACAAGCGGAACACTATGGCGATAACCGTAATGCTCCACTTGTAAAAGTAAAATCTGTCGGGCTCTTTTTGGCATCAAGGCAATTATTCTTACTGCCACATCGCCAGACAGAACACTATAAAAAAATAAATTAAAAAAATGAACACATAAGAAAGCAGCCGTAGCAGTGTGTCGCAGTGAGCTTGTCACAGATATTTTTGATTTATGCCCAATTCTGAAGCGTGGTCTGCAACATGTTATTCCACACCAAAACGCAAGAGGGACAATCACAAACTAACTGTGCATCTAGATACGGCCGAGGCGGTGCGGAAGTAGGAGCAAGTTTGTGCGACAACGAAGAGACATGAGGGCGAAAAGGAGCAGGGATCCAGGTCGAAAAAAGGTCCCAGCGTTCTTGCGCACCTCGCTCTTCTAGCTGTTCCATTTTCGCAAGTCGTTTTCCAAAACAGGGCAGTAAGGTACCAAACAGGAAATACACAGTATAGTGGATGTAGATTTGACCAATCAGAGGCCTCTTGTCTGCGGTCACCTGCAATTTTGGAGAGGTGCAGCAGGGTGTCTGCGACAGGGGGGCACATTTGTATTCACAGTGACACACACGCAAACGACCCGGTTTCTGAGTATAAATCAGCCTGTGTTTATCAATTTGGCTGTCCAGGGCCACATACTTCCACCACTGCAGGTTTGATGAGCTTATTCAGAAATGGTTTGTTTGGACAAGATGCAAAGAGACAAACGCATGAGTCTTTTGGTGATGAATAGATCTGGATCAGGTCATTCAGAATGACATGAAAAATTATGATATTGTTCACATATGGGAAAAAGTACAATACAAAAAAAAAGATTTAGGTCATATTTCCCTGCAGTGTGAACTTTCCTTTGTGACCTCCAGAATGAGTCTTGACAGCAGGCAGGCCAGTCTTAGGAAGATTCATCACTTTTTTATATTTCTCCATTTGCGAATATTAGCTCTCATTGTGGTTCACTAGTGACCAAAAGCCTTAGAAATGACCTGGAAACCCTTTCCAGACTGATAGGAAACACTCATTAAAGCAGTGGTTCCCAAAGATTTGCTTCTGGGCCCCCCTTTGGATTACAATAAAATTTCCACGCCCCACACTTTGGGAACCACTGCATTAAAGTATTTAACATTGTGACAACAGAAACATTTTCTCACAGGTTACCACAGGTACTAAAATTATTTTTAATCATTTGAAACATTTAAGCCTGACAAAATAGTGAAAAATAAAAAAGGAAAAAGCAAACATTGTTCTATGTATTATTGAGTCAGGGGGCTGATTATAAATGCATGTCATGCTTTTCACAGGTTTTCCTTTTTTTTTTTTATAATCAAAATATTTTTAGGTCAATGTATCCTATTCTTTGCACTTCACGGTTGTGCATTACATTAAACTGGCACATTACATAAGACCCCAACACCTTACATTGCAGTTTGTTGATATAATGTGGCCCAAGGTGAAAATAGGGTGTGAATACTTTTAGCAGGCATTTTTTTATTAAACTACAGCTTACTGGAAAAAATGTAAAGAATTTTAAAGAGGAGTCAAGGAGAACAGCTAGTGCGGCAGTTATGTGGTTGGCAAAAACCAAACGGCTTGAGCCTAGGGAAAAGAAAAAGGGGGACAGTACGTAGCAGAATCAATAAAAGATGTTTCTTCCCCTCAGTGGGGTGAAAAATGACAGCACAGCTCAGATCTGACGCAGCTGACAACCCTCAAATCAACCAGAGACACATGCGGCAAAGGAAGGAAACGGACGGGGAGCAAACAACAGAAGACAATTAAAGGTAGAAAGGAGAGAAGAGCAATCAGAAAAATTAGAAAAATGTAGGTTTGACGATGGAACAAGGGACAAAACGCAGGGAAGAGACTGTGCTGATCCCAAAAAAAGAACACTCATTGGTATTCCAAGGCAGTCTCTCATGCAGCACAGTCAATGCAGTGAGGATGAAACGCTACACTTCAATAGCGCCCCCTGCAGTATCAACTGCACCATTGGCAGGCCAACTGAAATCTAGGTCATCCATTTAAAAACCTACCAGTTATCTCATCAGAAAGTGGAGAAAATACAGCAGGAGGGTAGCAGAAAACAGCAGCCACCTCTCCAGGGTTTCTCTTTTCCATATCTGAATAAGGACAATGCTTTTAATAAGTGGCCTCATTTGAAGTTCATCCACATTTCCAGGTTTGATGTAGACACAGCCTCTGTCTGAATTCAGAACTTAAAATAAGTCCAGGGAGTAAAGGGCTAGCAGCCCTGTCTCCTTTCAGCCAATCACTATCATACAGCTATGCAGAAAGATGCATTTCTTTCTGAACAAAATAACTAATATTTCCAACACTTCACTTCAATTAATAAGATAAAAATAAGCTAAAAACCTAGTTCTTTTTCAGATTTCTTCCAGCTATAGATATTATGTAACACCCCAGCAATGGTATGAGGACATGTTTGCTCCTTTGTGGTGCGCTTTAATCTTAAATGTATGTAAATAGGTGTACAGGTTCATATGTGTACAAGTTGCTACTTGAGCGTTAATTTAGTTTACAAAATATATACATATTTATATATATAGAGAGAAATAAATTATCATTCTGCTCTCTGCCATTTTAGAGCAATCAGCTATCCAATCAGAGCCGAGGGCCATTTTTTTTAGCAGGATGGTTAAAGGAACAGCAGTTAATACAGATATGGCGACAAAACGTGCTGCAGCAAAGAAGAAAGTGTAGAAAATATTCAACACTCTTCTAAACAGAACATTTGAGACAAGAAAAGGTAGTGAAATTCAGATCAAATAGGAACATACAGTGCATTCAGATGTATTCACATCTTTTGTCAGTCTGCAAGTACAAATTTTAACGCTGATTTTATGAGGCCACAACAACATGGTATGCAACTATAAAGGGAAATAAAAATGTTGGGTGACCAATTCCTTTTTAATCAGATCTCAGAGGTGTAACATGCATTCAACTAAGTCTTTAGGGGTATAAATTTTCCAGTCAAACTGAATAGAGTTTAAATATTTTAGTAAAAGCCTGTTTATAAGTCTTACTTTTGGACTTTGCATGTCCCAAAACAAACTTAGAAACGTTAGAATACATACATATAATTTAAATTTAAACCCTTCCCTCGTGAATATGCATTTATATTAAGGCCTGTTGTTTCACCAGTCCAGCACTGCTCTGTATCCAAATCCACAGATCTTCACATTAACTCTGACCAGGTTCCCTGTCATTGTTAAATAAAAAATAAAAAAAATCACATAGCACTGTAGCGCCACCACTATGCTGCACCAAGATAATTTTAAATTAAGGGCAAGACACCTAACACCTAAATCAAATGGCTGCATAAAAAAACCCCAACATAATTGATTAATCTGATGATTATTTTTCCGATTAATAATCAGATAGCAAAAGGACCCTTAAAGAAGATTTTTTACAATATTAAACCAGGTGAAACTAAAACTTTTCCACCTATGGAGTTCTGGATATAGCATTTTGACAAAGTTTTTTTTAAAGCTTTAATGCAAAATATTCATATGTATATACATATATATTTTTGTTTTTACAATTTTGGTAGAGTTACTGCTTTAAGATAGTTTATCTTGCAACTAAAGGCATGTTTTAGAGTCTATACTCTAGTTAATGATTAATCCATTAATTAATTAGTTGATGATTATTTCAATAGATTGATCACAGTATCAGCCCTATTGTTTTGTTACACAATGGCTGAAACGTTCACCTACCAATGATGCAAGAGGTGAGCCGTCCGTGGACATAATTGGTAAAATCAGTAATCTACATACATTTGCTAGTTTGTTCCTTATTAAAAAGAACACACATTAGCTGAAGACACTTAACAAAACCATCGACGAGGGTGTTTTTTTTTTTGCTTTTTCTGATGAAATAT